TACCTAGCTCAACCCGTTCTCGAGTTATCGTGTTTACAGACAAACAGACAGACAGACGGACAGACAGACAGACACGAAACTTTTCGATCATCACTGGAGTAATAGGCTTCGCTATCGCTCAGCCAACAAGTGTAAAGCAGTTGAATACTTGGTTTATTAGTGTTCTGTACAGGCACCATGATCTATGCGTCACAAAATCGGCGATTTCAAATCACTGTGCGGCGGCGAGAATTTTCAAAATTTGACTGAATTGCTATTGTGAATTTGGAAAAGTCCCTTAATGAGTTACATCTTATTCATCTGCTTACATTTCTGATGATTTAAATTATTCTTTATTCAGTGCTGGCAGTAGGGGGCCGTGCTGGTGCGTGTGGTGTATTCCAATTTCAATGCGCCAACGCCAACAGCGCTTGTCTGGACATCTCATCGAAATGTGATGGCGAGAATAACTGCGGCGACGGGTCAGATGAGCTGCCGTGCAAAGGTAATGACTATTGTTGCTTTACCTTACTGAAAGTTATTTTCAAGAAAGAGGTGAGAGTGCAATGATAATAACAGTGTTCAATATCACTACTACAACGTAGACGAGGGGTCCCGGCTAAGCGTCCCGCGGTCTACTTTGTTGTCATTCGCTCTCTTACTCCTCTGGGCCACCTATAAGACTGTCTCTTTCGCGCGGACTAGTGCTGTGGCTATCGGTCCTGAACGACAAAGACGGACATCCGCGAACGCATTCAGGGGCGGATTAAGGGGGTGGGTGGGTTGCGCCCCCCCCCCCCGCGATTTGCGCTACAAAACCCCTGAATGTAGGCAACTGACAGTGACAATGATGAAACTCAAATATTGCCTCCCGCACCTTTTAATTGGTCTTTTGTTTGCTCTTCTAGTGTGTTGTACTCATATTTTACATCCAGTCATCCCCATTTTATGCGTTTAAGTATGACTGCAATAAATAACTTGTTTTTCACCCCGACACTGCTCCACAGATGCCCAATACCTCATAAAGTACAGTTCTAAATTAACCCCTTACTACAAATTTCTTCGTTAGGTTATTACAACGCGTTACCTGTACCTAAAAGTTATTTAACAAAGGTCAGACCTAATAAAGTGGATACGGAGTTCACAAGTCAGAAGGTACTAATTGAAGTATTACTAATCCGGGGTTGCAAATGCAACGACCCGCTTAGCCTCAAACGAAGCAGCACATCAAAACCTTCCTTTTCATCGAAAGAGGGATTTGAAATGACGCATTCGTGCCTGTGTGAAGGCGACACGGTATTCACACTGCAAAAGCGTGCAAGCCAACGTTCGAATTTGGAGACAGTTTTTCACGATGACATAGTAGGAGCTCTGCCGATTGCTTCGGGGAACATTAATAGTCCCCACAGAGTAGTACTGTGGGCGTAGAATTGTTACTCTACCTCTGCCCAGTTTGACGTCAGTGCAAACATTGTGCACTCCGTCGCTTTTTGAAAAAGTAGGTAAGAACGACTTCGGTCGTCTCGTGACGAAATATAGAAAAAAATTTCCACGTCGAAATTCACTCCTTGCGTTCCCTGGATATGTCACTCCAGAAATGCGATGTGCCTCATATATGACTATTCCCTTAAAATTATCGGAATTTGGCAAAGTCCGCATGAACTCAGACATTAGGAACGTACTGGAGTTCTCATTTTGACTATTAAACTGCTCTAGTCACCCACTGTTACAGTATTCTTAGGTTTTTAGTGTTGCACCAGGTAATGTTAGTGCTTTCGAGTACCTAGATGGTATAAAACCCTTTTAAGACCATATCACATAGTTGTGAAGGGCCGGGAAATCTAAATAGCACATATTCTGAAAATCACCCTCTCGTTTCTCTCCCCTCCAGCAGTTGAAACTAAATCGTTTTTTGTTATTGTTACTTTTATGCTAACAAAATCGTTAGTTAGAGGAACAATTTTTTTTCCGTGTGCAAACTCAATGAGTGGTGGGTGCCGTATATGTTCGGTATTTTAACATTCGACTGCCAGTGAATTGCCTCCAGATGCCACTGCAGTCAGCGCGTCTCCAGCTTCAGACGTTTCTGTCTTACATGAACATTTTCTGTAGACACTGACCTTTGATTTTGCGCAGAATGTTTTCATTGACGTATGTCCTCGCCGACTTCGTGCGGCATTTGTTATGGAGGGTTGGAGGGGTTGGAAGGCAGCGGTTGATTATTAACGATCGGAGCTGTCCCCACTACGACGCCTTATTGGTTGGCTATGGTGGCGTTGACATCAGTTAGGCGTCAGGCCTCGATACGGTTGAATTTCTTAACAAATGCCGCACTCAGTCGATGAGGAAATATGTAAATGAAACAGTCTTTAGGGTTGCGCTCGGATCGGCGCAGACTGCTTAGCTCCTGAAACTACCAAAACCTGAGGGTGAACCTATGTGGTCTAGTCGAGAAGGGCTGTCTGTTTATTAGTCCTGTGGGTTATTTTTTTCCAACGAAGGTTTGGACAGTTAACTTTCCTTCTCTTACCAAACAAACAATCCCCAAGATGCCGACTTTTATTTTATTTGCAGTGTCTAAAACTATACTACAGACGATGGCCACAATAACAGCTTTTCGAAATTTTCCAGTTCCGTTCACGAACTTGCAGATAGGTGATCAAGTAGATGTGGTCATCCAGCATGTGAAGAGGAATAGGGGCCTGCGATTTCTGTTGTGTGGGGGCGGCGAGTGCAACATGATCACTGTCCTCGGCGTAGATGCTGACGCCACGCTGTCCTACTATGCATACTCTGGCTGCAAGCAGTGGGGACTGCCTTGCCTCAAGGAGGAGGGAGAGGTGAGGTTTAATCTGCAGCTTATCCGTCGCCGCGCCGTCGAGCTGTGCAGTAGGGTAGCACGGCGTCCAACATGGGACACAATCCACCGTGCACTCTCTCAAACTGTCGCCTCACTAACTGCCGTGTGCGGAAAAGACAACTAAAACAAGCAAGACCTACCCTTCCAAAATGGGACGTGTGCATTTTTCAGATGTATTGATTTTTGAAGTATAAAACTGGCCTTCTCCCTATGGTTTTAGAGGAATAAAAAAATACTAGGTAGATGTAGGCCAGACCACGTCTCGCGTAACAGGCTTCGCGATATCTCACGAAACACTGTTACGCTGCGACGCGCCTGGCATACATCTACCTAGGCCTGCGGCG